TCCTTGATGATCTTCTCAAAGAGTTTCCCCAGGATTGAGGTAAGACTGACGGGCCTATAGTTGCCTGGGTCCTCCCTCTTCCCTTTCTTGAAGATGGGGACCACATTTGCTACCTTCCAATCATCTGGCACCTGGCCCAAGCACCACGATCGCTCATAGAGCGATATTCCAAGGGGTTCGCCCTCGTCCAACTGTCCGCGAGGGTATGAGCCGACCCTACTCCGGCCGGGAGTGCCGGCTGCTGGGTCCCTACGGCCCTGTTCTCCGCGGAGTTCCCCTCTTCCCTCTGGGGGGTGGAATCCTCACCCTTGTGAGGTTTTGCCTGCTCTCCAGCCGGATAAGCCGATCCCTCCTCACGCCAGCCGCGCTGCCCCCACTCCTTCCTCTGGCTCCTGAGGGCCTCTCTTGGGCTGGGTCTCCTGGCACCAGCTGCTCCGGCCCCGTCCCCTACTGGAGTCTTACCCGCGCCCCAGAACATGCGGGTTCGGCGCTGGGTGGCTCGCCTCCGCCTTCCTCCGGTCTCGCCGGTGTCCGCCGGCTGTTCGGGCACTTCCGGTTCCGCTGCCGCCGCCACCGTTCCGTGGGCCGCCGGCCCTTTTAACCCGGCCTCTCTCCTAACCCACCTGCAACCGGTTAGTGATTGCCCCATCTCTCGGGGCAGGGGCGGGTCCGGTGCCGCGGACGTCCTGCCGTGACTCTCCCCGGGGTCTCCAGGTTCCTTTGCTCCCGCACAAGGCTGTGGCCAAAAAGGCTAATGCAATCTTTGGATGTATAAACAAGTGACTCTTCAGAAGCAGTCGAGAGGTTATATTCCTCTGTATTTGTCTCTGGTTCAACTGCTGCTAGGATATAATGTTCCAGCAAAGATACTGATAAATTGGAGATGGTTTAGAGAGAAGAGCCACGAGAATGATTAAAAGAAAACAGGCTTTATAATGAGAGAAATAAGGGGCTTAATCAGTTTAGTTTAAGAACGGGAAGATTTGGGGAGAGGGGAAATTAATCAGGGTCTTTAAGTTGCAACATAAGGGGCATGTCTACAGGTGTTATTAATGCAGGGAGCCCAGGGGGTCAGCCTGCCAGCCCGGGGCTGCTCCGACCTGGCTCAACATGCTGAGGAGGGGCTGGCTGAGGCACAAGAGTGCTCCAGTGTAGGTCTAGCTGGCAGGTAGGCAGGCCCTGCACTGAAGCATCCTTGTGCCCTAGCCAGCCCTGTCAGTGTCTACATGTGCATTACAGTGCACTAAATAATGCTGCTGCGGGATAGTACTTGTGTTTACAAGTACTAACCTATGGTAGAGTTAATTAGTTTACTGCAGCCTAATAAGGCCTCACATGTTGATACTGAGACTTTACTGCAAAGCTGATTAGGCAACTCTACAGTAAACGTATTGTGTAGATGCGCCCAAGAAGTAGAAATCTGGTAACAGACATCCCTTAAAAAAATATCCAATGGTTTTAAGTGGGAACTAGAGAATTTCAGGCTCTAAATAGTGTACATGCTTTTTAGCAGTGAGGATAGTAAGCATTGTTACAATTTACCAAGGATTCTGATAGATTTTTCTTCACTTGACATTTTAAAAGTTTTTTTGCTGAAAAATGTTCTGTAGTTCAAAGAAGAGTTAATTCAGGAAGATCCTATGGCCTGCATTGTGCAGGAGGTCAGGCTAGATGATCACAATGTCCACTTTTTGCTTTATAGTCTATAAAGTGATAGGTCTAATTTCTCACTTCTCCCTGAAAAATGAATTTAGTGCCTGTGAAAGCTAGCTGGTTGTCACCTTTGACTTAAGTACTGTATTTGTCTCTAGGTTGAACAAGTCCAGCATGACATAATTCCCTGCACAGTTGCCAAGTTTTATGCAGCTCCAGATGTCACATCTATACAAATTATGTGACAAGCTCATTTGGAAATAGTTTACATATAACCACATACTTTAGCTTTTGGTTCCATGCAGTTTCATAGTTTGTAGGGTTGGAAGGGACCTGAGCAGATCATCGAGTCCGACCCCCGAAGTGAGGGGGACAGACTGTGGAGCTACCCAAACCAGGCAGTTTTACTAGGAAGGGTAAGGGGAAAGGACTGTTCCATGGTAGGTGGCTGGATCTCTGTGTATAGCTGATTCTGGCTGAGGGATCCTGGGTCCATCTCAAGTACTCTCTTCTGACCCTGCCAGCCACTTAACACTGGTGATAACATGACTCCTTCCTTTCTAGGCCTGAGCAAATGCACCAGATGCAGTGGAGCTGCCTGCTTACTACTGCAGGCCATGGCATTTGGGAAGACAAACTACAACCCCTGCCTGCTGGCTAGCAAGAAATGTGAGTATCTGGTTGGGTTTGGGAATGTGTGACAGAGCTACCAGGTATGTGACACATGATATGCGCAACACTTGTTGGCCTCATCCATGCCAATGTACATTATTCTTGCCAATGTGTCAGGAGGTGTTCTTCTTTAGGGGTGAGAAAGTAGTTTATTTTCCATGGGCCACACAGTCCTGGGTCTATTTGACGAAATTTATGACTGCTTATTTGGGCAAATTCTACTGATGGTTTTACTGGTGGATACTTGCCCAGTAAGAACTGGGTAAGGATCAATAACTCATTCCACATGAATCACCAGATAACCTTCAAAGGATAATGATATTCAGGCATTAGAGACCTGCATAAGAGAGGCTAAATTTCTAAACAAAATTTCTGTGTAATTTATATCTTTAGTTTGATGGGTGAGTTTAAAAATGGAGGCATTTTGTACTATTAATGCCCTTCAACAAATTCTTCCAACTCTCCATACTATCCTCAGGTCAAATAAGAAATCTCACCGGGCTAGTAATTTTGGTTGGAAAAGAGCAAAAAAGTCCAAATAATAATAAGTCACTTTAAATAGTATGTACAATAGTATCTTCTGATGTCTGTGAATTCCGAGTCACACACACACAGCTCTCACAGCTTCAGAAATGTTCTAACAAGATTCTGTGGTATATGTTTCCAATTTAGCACAAATTATATATTACTGAATATTTGACCCCTTTTCTCTGGAAAAAAGTATTTTCACTTGATAGTTATACCAGAACACTTTCTCGGTTATTGTGAAAACATCGTTCCCCCCTATTTTAATTACTGCACATTCCATTGCAAATTGGTTACTGTACTCTTCTTCCTCATGTGCTTCCCAGTTATTTTTCATTTCAGGTGTAAGATACAAAGCCTTATTAATGAAGCAGCAATCTGTGATCAGCTTCTGAAAGCTCTTTATATTCTGTGCTAACAATGTTTTGATATACTTTTCCCCACGCCCCCCTCCCGCGTTTCCTTAGCTGCCTTAGCTGTTTGGCCATGTCTGACTTGCTGATGATGAAGCCTTTGCTGGCAGGTTGCCCAGATAGCAGCTCTCCTGTAGATTCCAGTCTCTCTCCAGGAGTTGCCTGCCTTCAGCATAATGGGCAACATTGAAAGCAGCAAGGCGTTTGGTCGACAAGGTCAGAGTGCCTTTCATTCCTGCAATAATCAACCAGTGTAGCTCTTCCTCAGACCTGGGGAGAGAGAAGATAGAGGTCAAAAGAGCAATTACATTTCACATTGACTCCAGGAAAGGCTTGGAACACAAAACTGAAAAGAAAAACAGCATAGAGCTTCACTCTTTCACATTCCTTTTCTGGTCATTATTATTAAAACAGTGCAGCAACCATGTCCATTATAAGCATTATAACATGAAGAACCATTTTCCTCCACTGGATGAGATCTTTCTTCCCAGACATTTAGCACTGTCAGCATATTCCAAAGGAATGTAAATGAGATACACCACATATAACCAGACACAGTAAGTAAAGGCTATTAATTATGTTAAAAAATGTTAACCCTAGCAGACTGTGGAACAAGCAATTGTGTTAATTTCAGTCTGTAATCAGTCCCTGAATTAGCATAACTTTATTTATTTAGCATTAAGACAACAATTTAGAAAATATAATTTAGTTGGAAATGTCAGTAATTTTCTGCTGGTATATTGTTGTTGCAAAGTTACCTTTATTTGACCTTACAGCTGCCAGGCCTAATTACTTTAATGGTATTAATTGTACTGACCAGTCTGGTGATGTAGCTTGTAACTCCTATTACTGCCTAGTTGGTATCATTGCAAAATGTGTCATGTGTGTTTCGCAGTCATGTTCCATTGTTTACTGGTACATTTTAAAGCAGAGGCTCCCAATGTGTTATCAAAAGAAAAAAGAAAAGAAAAGAAAACAACTCCTTGAAGCATATATCTGAATCAGCCCTTTAAGCAGAGCAATCTACAAAGTCTAATGTTAATACAGTAAGATATTAGAAGAATGTAACTGATCCTATTTATTCAATGCCCTTCCCTTCAGCTGTATGAAAGCTGAATTAGTTCAGTGTTGACAAAGGATTAAGAAACTTGGTAGTGACATTCTTCACAGTAAACAAAACCTCCCTCATTCCACATTTCACACTGAAGGCAGCCACTTGAAGAATATTCATTTCTTTGTTTCCCGCTATAGAATGCAAACATGGCTTTATTCCATGGTTTCCTATGAAACAAAATGTGAATACAATGTCTCTATCCCACAGAACACCTGGTATTATTCACTACTCTGTTGAAAACACTTGAACACTGAAGGACTGAAAAACATACTTATTTTATCAATCATGACAAGCAACAGGATATTTTTCTCCTTGCAGTGTTACTTCTTAAAGACAAGAGGAAAAAAATATACGGAATTTGGCTCATGCTCTTTTTTTAGAAACTACCTAGGAACTCTGCAAATGCAGTATGATTAATCACAAGTAACCATGATACTACTCAAGGCCAAATACTAAAAACATGTACTCCTTATGAAGGCAAAACTAAATGAAATTAAGGCTTTGACTGAGTCAAAACTGAGTAAGAAATTCAGGATTTGGTATAGAAGCCATGTATACAATTGTACAATTTACCCCCGTATTACTATCAGTTCTAACACTGATTTAGCCAGATTAGCATTTACATTGGCAGAGGCTGTACTGAAGACTCAACTGTGGTGTCTGGCACTGTCTTCTCCAGCAATTTAGTAAAGCCTGCTGAGAAAGGTTGTAATACAGTAGTACAGTGCATTTCTAGCCACTAGGGGTGTTCTTACACATGCTCCAGGGGTAGAGGGTGTACTTTAATTAGAGTGGCTCTCAAGAGCTGTTCTAATTAAAGCGCCCACAGTGTCTTGTGTATTCAGTGTCCTGTGTTTTAAAGTGGTGGCGGGGGCACTTTAACTAAAGCTTGTTCAATGAGCTTTAGTTAAAGAGCTCCCGCCACCATTTTGAAGTGTGGGGACACTGAATACACAAGATGCTAAGGCTGCTGGAATGTACTAATTACACGGTAATTACAGTGTGTTGGAGCAGGCATCCCACACATATACAGGCACCCTAGGGCTTTCTCACTGTGTTTATTGCTGATTCTAAGACCATCTGTTTGAATGGGTAAGACTTTTAAAGTATATTTTACTAGTGAAGGGAAAGATTTAGTGCAATTGTTTGTTTTACAATGAAACTTTGATTCTTCTCACTATTTCTTTAAATAAAGGTGGACTTTACTGATATAAGGATAGATCACATGAAAGAAGACATGCAACAAAAATAGACCACAGGGAATAATCCTGCACTGACAGGCAGCTCAACGATGTGACTCAAAGGCTAGGGACAGAAGTTACGCATAAACTGGTTTAAGTGATCAGAAACTGGTTTAAACTTGTAACAAAACAGAAGTTCAGTACACATACCCAGTTTCAAAATGGATGAAACTGGTTTAAGATAAACCTGGCTGAATGTAGTATTAGACTTAACGGATTTGGGTCAAACTGGTTTATGAAATTGCTATCCCAGACCCCTTCCTGGTTCAAGTTAAATCAGAGTCCCCCAACATCCCAGCATACTTTCCATTCCTGGGCTGTGCTGTGCTGCCTGCTTCAAGTAAATGACTTTACTGTTAGGTAAATGACTTTATCATATGTAAGGAGATAGGTAAATAATAGATGAAGGGATATACATTTAACTTGAGTAAATTATTCTCATGTCAGTATTACCTAGGCCTTTCCTCACCTCCTGTACTTTACACTTCTATGCCAATAGCTGACAGAATTTGTATGTTAAGCTAAATTAATATGATAAAAGAATGTACAGAGCCTAATTGTATCAAACAAGAAAACTATGACAGGGTGCAGACAGAAGTGCAGCTCCCAGCTGTAATTCAGAATATTTTCTACAAAGCATTCTGAGTTGCAACATTCCCCAGACCGAACAGAAGTTCACTGTTGGTTCCAGGGCAGAGGGGAATCTTGCTGTGGGCTGGGAGCCTGCAGCCAGGTTCCCACAGCAATGGCCAGGGCTCCCTGCCAGCGCTTGCTGTTTTCAGAATGGGAAGGGAGAAAGGCAGTGGAGGGAGCTCATTCTTGGGGCTTCCCAGCTGGTGCTGAAGGATATGATGGGCGAATTGGAGCCTCCACCCACCCCATCCTCCAGGAGGGGCTGAAAAAAACCCAAACTGCTCCCTTTCTTCTTCCTATTCTGAAAACAGCGACAAGCTGGGAGCTCTGTGCATACATAAGTTACAGAAGACACTACATTTTGAAACATCTTCTTCTGATATTTCATGCAATGAGAGGTCAGCTTTTTACCTGATTGGCCATTTTTGAAGCTGTCTGAAGCTGTGCGCTTGTGTTTGGTCACTGCTATAAACTGCTTTCTGTGGCCATATTGGGAGAAAATTGTCACTTCTTTCTGTGCTCTTAGTGAGTTCTAGAAGACAGACATATACCCATAGTCTTAAATCTTTTTTCACCTTTACCACTTACATAGCCACTTAACTACAATTTTTGTGACTTATGCATAGTTTAGCTTCTACTTATCTACACTCACAATGTACTTCCTGAGTATGCTAGTAGTCTGCATAGGTGTCAGGGTAATACAGTATAACCTCATAAATCTAGATCTCAAAAATCCGGAATTCTCAAAAATCCAACACTTTTTAAGCTTCCCCCTCTGCTCCTCTGGATGCAGAGGAGGAAGCTTACATGCGGAGGCTGCTGTTGCCATCCAGCACCCCACTCTGCATGTGGCCAATGCCCCAGAACTGGCCACCACAGCTGCCCCTCACTTCTCCGTGACTGGCCAACGCTCCAGTTTAAAGAAATGGAATTTTCAAAATGGTCCCAAGCATGCCAGATTTATGAGCTTATACTGTATAGAAATTTCCTGGGCACATTGTTAATACTAAGCAAGTTGCAAAACATTAGTCACGGAGGGCACCTATACACATGCCTGATGCCTGCTCCTATGCATGCTAACTGGTACGCATTGGAGCAGGTTTGATTAATCTGGTCCAGTCCCACTGCCATTTTGAAGCACAGGACGCTGAATACATGAGATGCTGTGGGTGCTTTAATTAGAGTGGCTCCCGAGAGCTGCTCTAATGAAAGTGCCCCTCCCACCCAGGAGCATGTGTAAAGAAGCCTAGAAAGAGAAAGTTGCATATGCCTGATGCTGGAGGGCCCTTCTACCTTTTAGCCCTAGAGTACAAGTGTCAAACATCTGGTCAGTGGGCCAGATGCAGCTTGTAGAGGTAGGTCACCTGGCCAGCAGGCTTTGTTGTCACAGTTGCCAGAGTTGCTACATTGGTTCAACTCCAGAACCCAGAGGGTTAATGCTGTGGCTGCTCACCGCTACCCCTTTGTATGTCACTGAAATTTGGGTTTTCAGTTGCCATTAGTGAATAAAATTGGCAGCATGGGAAAAGGCCCCCTCCTCACTCCTCCTTCCCCTAGATTAACAGTAATAGTGTTAACTCCCCTGGGTTCTCTAGCTAGGATTACACAATGGCTCTGGCTGCTTTGGCCTCAGAGGTAGCTCATCCCCATGGTCTAGATCTGCCCTGTGGGGACAAATTAATTTGGTGCTTCTGCTTTACAACCTAGTGATTAAGGCATCCTCCTAGGAACATAAAGATCATGGCCTGGTGGTAAGAACATGCCGCTGCAAAGTGGGAGATACGTAAGGGGAAAGACTAGAATCTAACGGTGCCTGTAGACATGCCAGGAGACTGCTCTGATGTGCTGTAATTATAGTGCACTCCAATCAGCCTCCATGTCGCTTGTATCAGCATCCCCACACTTCAAAATGCTGGCAGGGTACTTTAACTAAAGCTCGTTGAATGAGCTTTAGTTAAAATATCCCTGCCATCATTCTGAAGTGTGGGGATGCTGATACACAAGACTCTGTGGGCACTTTAATTAGTGTGGCTTTCAGAACAAATCTAATTAAAGCAGTCTCTCTACCCCCAGAATGTGTTAAAATGCCCTAACTCTCCAGCTCCCTGGGCAAATGTCCTAACTATAAGGCAGTGCAGTTCAAATGTTGGAGGCTCTGCCATTTGACTTCTATCTGGCACTATGAGAAAGTGCCACTATTTGCCATCATATGGGTATGTAAATTTAGGTGTATAAAGGCAAAATAGGATTGGGTCTATAGAGACCAACCAGAATTTTCTTTTATGAAAGGAAGAAATTTAATATTAATCTATGTAAAATAAGAATATTGAAGGGGTTTGATAAAGCTATTGTAATTGTTACTTAGATGTATTTACACCAAATTTTCAAAAGTGACTAGCAGTTGTGGATGTTTTTGAATATCTAAGTAGAGACAGTTTAAAAAGTCTTGATTTTAAGAGAGGGCTGAACATGCAGTCTCTGAAAATCAGGCCTCTTTACAATGTCTGAAATGGGGTCCTAAAATATAAGGTACTCAAAATTGTTAATTAGTTTTTAAAATCTTGACCTT